CCGGTCTCACCATGTTTAACAGTCTACATATACACCAAAATCCTTTATTATGTCTTGATATTTCTTAACAAAACCCCATATTTTAAAACTTTTTTTTCTTTTTAACATCCTTCTTGGGCTCCATGAGTAACAGCCATGTCATTTAGGGCATCTGAGATTTTTGCCATTGGGCTTTGAGTTAGGTCATTAGTCTTCTCTTGGCAAAAAATGCAGAAGTGACAGCTCACTCAGAGTGTCCCTGCTGGTGTCCCCAGAATGACTGTGGTCCTTGAGATCTCCCTGAGGATTATTTTAAGATGGAAAATCTCAGCCTCAACTGGAGTATAAGACCAGTAAGGAAAAACAAAAGAAATGCAGCTTTCAAAGATCTCACTCACCAAAGCCATCTTCTGGAGCTGAAGTCTCCACATATTTCCCCATGAGACAAGGAATCAGAGAGGATCCAGCTATGTTGGATGCTGAGTATGTAGGTCAGGAAAGGTGAGAAGTGATGTGTACAAAAGTTTGTGCAGTGATGGGGAATGTTCTTCCATGTATATGTTTCTTTTATTGGTTAATGAATAAAACACTGATTGGCTGTTTGACCAGACAGGAAATGATGTAGCTTATATCCAGAGTCAGGATATAAGCAGGGACGAACAGGAAATAACTTTCTTCTCTGTGGAGACACTGAGTAGTCATCATGTATCAGGCAAAGTAGTTGCAGGTCTGGCATTCCCCGGTAAGATATGACCATGGTTTAATAGACATGATTAATAATTAAGACAGAGCGAGCCAAATATGAAGCCCAAGCCAACAGCCAACAGCATTATAACTAATATAGCATCCGTGTGTTCATTTGGGGTTCAAGGGCCTTGGAACCTGCTGGGCTAGAAAACTGCCGTTACAGTGCAGGAAAAGGTTTTTGGTGATTTTAAAATACTTTTTGTTTCTGGCTTGAAGTATTGTGGATAATTTTCTCATTCAGAAAGGATTTTGCTCATATCAACAAGATCCTTAGGGGTTTTTTTGTTCACTTTAACTTTGCTAACTTTTGAACTTTTCTAGATTATTTTGATGCTTGAGAGACTCATTCCAGCACCATACTGTGGTGAATTTTGTGCACCAGGTGATGTCGTGGTCATCCAACCTCCCTCTTTTGTGCCTTACAGTCTCTTTTCCACAGAGTTTCTATAGCAACATTAAATCAAATGATGCTGTTCTTTGGATGAGTGGCCGGCAAGAGTTTCCCATCCCACTATTGGCTTACCAGTAGGGTTAGCACATAATTTATCATTCAAATGGACTCTTTTGATCATGAAAGGGTTCTGAAGAGTTAATTATGGCAGAACAGGTGTCAACCAGGGGCAACCCAGCAAGCCCTGAGCCAGCAGCTTACTTAGAGAACCTATGAAAAGCAGCCAGCCACTTCTCATGTTCTATTTGTCTCCTCTGTCCTCACTTAGCTCACCAACCTATCGGATGCTTTTCAAGAATAAAGGCGTGCCACAGCTGCCTGGGATATTCTCTCCCTGAGATAGCTGCATGCCTTGTTCTTTTCATTTAATCCAAGTCTCTACAAAGCTCACCTATTAGACCTTTAGTGAGCCCCCTAGAAACAGTAGCCTCTTTCCCTATTTACTCTTTCTTCACCCTGTGCATTCCTTTCTAATGCTCCTTACATGATGTTGCTCTGTCTGTCTGTCATCTATCTGTCCACCCATCCATCTATTATCTAGCCATTCTGCTTGTATGTATCCCATATAATCGGTTATGTCTCCACCCCCTACCACAGGGCCAACTCCATCTTGGATTAGTCTTGTCCTGCCTTTGCTGTGTGCCTAATGCCTAGCACCATGCTTGCTACTAAGAGACACGTATTGAGTCCTCCATGATAAATGAAGACATGAGCACATGTGTGGAAGAATAAGTTGCTTATGAGGAGGTTGCAAATGACAGGACCACAATAGACTCTTTCTGGAATATTTATAACGGGTCTATGTACGTTGTCTTGGTAAAGTCAAGACCCAACAATAGTACCAAGACAAATGCCTGGAACAGCATGTAGAAGAAAAAGGGGCCCACTCTGTGTTTATACTGCGGGAAAGAAACAGTGTTTGCACAGCATGCCCGTAGATAGAGCTCAAAACAACCACACAGAAAGGTTTTCAAATACTAACTCCCTCTATTTCTTTAAGAACCTGCTATTTGAAACTCTATCAAATTCAGCCATAGCTTTATGATTCCCCGCAGAGGACATTGCACTGAAATTCAGTTTATATAAAAACAGCCATTTCCCAGAGGGGTGAATAGAGACGGTATAGTAACTTCTGCCAGGCCTCCTATAAACTTCAAAGGCAGAAGAATGCCTGTGAGGTTCTCTCTTGGTTTTGGCTTTTTGTTGTTGTTTTTTTTTCTGGTGATGATGGGAAGTATAAATAAACTAACTCAAAGGCTTTTACTACTTTAATATGAATAAAATCCACCTGAGCATGGTGTAGCAATTTCTTCAGCCCAGTGTATTTCTTACTAACACTTCTCTAAATATGTGCTGGAGTTAGTGACAGGCTATTAACTAAGCATTATTCTTGATGAAGACTACAGCAGCCTTTTGCAGAAAACAGACATGGATGGTATGGTCTGAGAATGTGGTTTCTATGGAGAGGACTACTAAGTTACTGTGGGGGTGGAGCTGAAAGAAAGTAAAAAGGGAAAACATTATTCAAGTCTTTTGCAAGATTTTGTTTGTTTGTGTGTTTTCCCAAGTCAGGATTTCTCTGGGTATCCCTAACCATATTGGAACTCACTCTGTAGACAAGGCTGGCCTCGAACTCAGAGATTTGCCTGCTTCTGCCTCCTGAGTGCTGGGATTAAAGGCATGCGCCATCACTGCCTGGCTCTTTTGCAAATTTTAAAGCCAAGAATCTGAGTAAAAATTAGTAATGCATGCATGCATGCAATTTGACTTAATGTTCATGTCCACCAAAGCAGATAACTTTTTTTTTCATGCAATACCTTGGACCTGCTCCATCTAATTAAGAAAAAGGTCATCCACGCACAAAATATGTTGCTGAGTAGCTGGATTAATCTTTTAACAAAGTCCTATTTCTAATTCCCCTTGCCCTTAAACCTTGGATTTAACTAGCCTTTTGGCCGTGTGCTCTTCTTTCGGTATATCTCCTTTCTGTCTCACTCACTGCCATTTTCAAAGTTCTGTGCTGTCCTCTGTATCCTTGGCACCATTTTCCATCCTAAGTGGAGCTTTGTGAACGGAGCAGCTAATTTAGCCTGTGGCCTTTGTAGCCAGCTGCCCCAAATTCCCTTCTACTCTTGAGGGCCTTTAAGCAACTTGTGAGGCATGCAGTTTCTAGCCCCGGGGTTAACTTAGGGTGAAAGTATGCTGTTTGCATGCAAGTCGATGTTTGCTGTTCTGGTTGGTAAGGTGGCTAAGGACTTAAGCAATAGCCACTGTGTGCTTCATCTAGGACGTGGGCATGTCTTGGTTGTTAGGGCTGAACACTGGTGTGTACAGACCAATCACATACTGGCTCAGTGGAAGGGACTGTCTTTAATATTCCAAAATGGTTTTTTTTTTCTCCTCAGTCCTGTCACATAATGAAACCACTCCGAATATTTTCCACACTGTCAAGTATCTTCCACCTGCTCTCCAGACCTTACTCCTGCCGCTCCCTTCATGGGGTCAGGTGACGTTCCATCTAGGAACTGGGATCTTGGTGTGGATCCCATTTCATCAGAACAGCCCGCAGATCTTGAGAGCAGAAGCCCTGGGTCAAGGGTGTCCAGTGTGCAGGGCAGCCATGGCATGGTCTTGGAAGAAACAGTGACCGTGTGTGTGTGTGTGTGTGTGTGTGTGTGTGTGTGTGTGCTTATTCCCACACATTTCAGCTCAAGAATATTTTCATAAACCTTATCAGAAGAAAGCAACGGCGCTTCCTCTGAGCATCAGTCCTGAGTCTAACATGTTTTAGCATAAAGCTAAGGGGCTTAACACAGGGAGTGGGTTCCTTTGGCTGTTCGTGGCTCTGTCCTCCATTCTGTTTTTCATTCCAGAGATCTCCAGTGGTTGCAGCAGCTTTGGAGTTAGTGTCTCTGATGTGTTTGCCTCTGACCTCTGACCTAAACCTCAGTGTTATTTTCAGCTGTTCTCTGACAGGGATCCAACAGCTGCTGCTTAATACCAGAGACAACTTCTGACACAGGCAGAGCTTCAAGCAAAGGATTAATCTCTGAGCCTGACTCTGATTTGAAGATGCTTGCATTTTTTTTTGCTCCAGGTAGATATGGGGATTTAAAAAAAAGTAACAAAATATTCACCTTCAAACAAACAAACAAAAATATCTCTTACTGTAGTTGAAAGGTAACAACAAAGTATTGAGCTGTCTAACAACTGTTTGCTAGCTGCATTTGAAAATGCTGCTCAGAAGGCTGCCAAGAAGAAATCCTGGGAAGATGTGTATTCATTGATAAATGCTGGGTGAAACAACTTTAAAATACACCTAAAAAGTTCTGAGAGAATGTGATCGTTCCAAGGAATTCATTTGACAAAGTCCATTAAGTTTTAGAAAAACAGACTAACCTAAAAATATTTTGATCAACTTTGTGACTTAATCCCCCAAACAATAAAGGTCATTTTTTGGTAGTTTTCTTTGTATGAAGAAGACTTGAGAAGATTGATATCCAGGCCAGTGACTTTTCTGGTTTCAAAGTCCACAGTTACAACTGTTTAGTTTCAGTAGCCAAACTAATTTGGGTTGTCAGGATGTAATTTTTTTTCCATTAGCTATCGGACATCAGCTGATAGGCAAAGAGCTCAAAGCTGTCCCTCGAGTTTCAGATAATGGCAAAAATAACAGGCACTTACTGTTACCATAGTATGGGGTGGCTGGCTCCTCTCTCTCCTCTCTCCCTCTCCCTCCTTCCCTCCCTCCCTCCCTCCCTCTCTCTCTCTCTCTCTCTCTCTCTCTCTCTCTCTCTCTCTCTCTCTCTCTCTCTCTCTCCCCCTCTCTCCCTCTCTCTCCCTCTCTCCCTCCTCTCTGTCTCCTCTTTCTCCTCTCTCTCTCCTCCCCCTCCCTCTCGATAAGCTCAATGGGGCTGTCTATTTTTAACTTCCTGTTCTTTGCTTTTGGCCGGGTAATCAGTGTGAGCAGAGAGCTTTCCCCGAATGAGTCCTGATAGCCCTGTGGATGCCTCCTGACATGACCAACAGACACACATCTCTACCAAGGCTGCCCCAGGTTTAAATCCTCCTGCTAACGTGCCATGTCCTGCAAAGAAAGTCCCCATGTGGGTGTTTCCACCACCACCGTCAGTTCTGTAGCTGTGCAAGCTGGGAACTCCAAAATCGTGATAGCCGTTGTCAAGGTAAGCTCACAGCTTTCTTTTCTCTGTGTGGCTGGGGGTGAGGGGTACTCTCTGTGGTGTGCTGAGAGCCCTAAAGGACAGTGCACACTTTCAGAGGACACAGCACGGAATAGGTGATAAATAATAAGTAATCTTAATCACTTAAACCAGTGACAGAGGACTGCAAAGTTTCAACAAGTTGCCAGTTTGCTTTTCAGCTTACAAAGTGTCTACAACAACTTAAAACAGACTTTACTGTGTACTTTCAGTTTGGTACTTAAAGGCAAGGCGCATGTGACAGAGGTTCTGGAATGCCAGGTGAAGAGTCCAGTGGGCCAGGGCAGCGCCTGTGACTTTTGAGTGGACGTGATGGAGGAGGTGGATCAGAGGGGGGCACTGTCTTGAGCATGATGGAGACCTGGAAGCAATAAGAAACTCCTGCAGTGCCTCCCAGAACTGGCTTCCACTGGTACAGGCAGCACTAAATACTTCTCCCACTGTAGGGACTGGAGCCCCTGTCACACACAGCGTGTCAAACTGCCTCTTGAGAACATGAAAGTGCAGCCACTTGTAGCTTAACTGTCTGGTTTTTGTCAAGCTGTTTGCAAAGATGGGCACCCATCTTTGGCTTGTCAAAGACTTCCATGATTTTGTTCCGTGTGATTGAAATTGTGCAAACTCCTCTGAAACATAAGCTTTCTCTTTAGAGGTTTTGCAACCTAAAGAATTCGTGTTTAGTGACTGCAAACCTGGCCAAAAGGGGGCGGGGCAAAGCTGGCAACTAGGCTCCTTTAGTTTAATTGCTGCAAATTTTATAGTAGTATGAAAATCTGTAGGAGGAAACACTGAGCACTGGAATGCAGGGTTCTGTTCAAGGACAAGTTCCCAGTGCTGGGAGCCTCCTGCCCAACAAACAGGACCTCAGTGACTCTGCACCCTCCCCTCTGCAAGAGGTGTGACTCCCCACCCTCTCCTCTGTAGAGGTGTGACTCCGCACCCTCTCCTCTGTAGAGGTGTGACTCCGCACCCTCTCCTCTGTAGAGGTGTGACTCCCCACCCTCTCCTCTGTAGAGGTGTGACTCCCCACCCTCCCCTCTGTAGAGGTGTGACTCCCCACCCTCCCCTCTGCAGAGGTGTGACTCCCCACCCTCCCCTCTGTAGAGGTGTGACTCCGCACCCTCTCCTCTGTAGAGGTGTGACTCCGCACCCTCTCCTCTGTAGAGGTGTGACTCCCCACCCTCTCCTCTGTAGAGGTGTGACTCCCCACCCTCTCCTCTGCAGAGGTGTGACTCCCCACCCTCTCCTCTGTAGAGGTGTGACTCCCCACCCTCTCCTCTGTAGAGGTGTGACTCCCCACCCTCTCCTCTGTAGAGGTGTGACTCCCCACCCTCTCCTCTGTAGAGGTGTGACTCCCCACCCTCTCCTCTGTAGAGGTGTGAGTGGAAATGCCGAAGCATCAAAGCTGCACCAGGGAAAACTGACCTGTTGCACCGGATTTAGTGGTGCTTGGGGCAACTCACAGATTCCAGCTGGGAAGGACAGGAGGCAAGCCTATGATGTTTTTAAAGAAAGTCAATATCACTTTCCTCTTCAAGAGGAGTTGTCACTGGTGCTTAGTGAATAACCTACAGGATAGTCAGAGGTCCAAAGAACATACAAACTTTAAAAGTTATATGAGAAAGTCTTTTTAATCAGATTTTATTTCTCAAAATGGCCCATCATAGTCCTCTCTCCAAGTCCCTCACACTACTGTCATCTCCAAATGAAACGTGCTTCAGCCTCTTCAGAGAGGGGAGCCTGTACTAATGGAGGAAGCTCTGGGACCTGGTCTGTAGTGCGGTTTCCATCCCACCTGTGTGAAGTGTCACTAATTGTCAATCGTCGAGAGTTGTTTTGTGAGGGTAGAACTGTGTGAATTCACTCAGTGACTTAGCATTAGTGAGCAACACATTATCTAATGCACACATTTCTCATTCGAGAATTTAGAGAATCCAAACCCACACTCCATCCATTGAGAGAATCTGTTCTAAGAATACAGGAAGACAAAGCATGGGTTTCTATTAAACCTGTTGCATTTCAGCATGTTAGGCCATCTCTACGGAAGGAGAAAGTGTTCTTAGTGTAACTGGAAATTAAAAAAGTGAGAAGATGCAAGGGAGAGTAAAATTCATTTCACTCATTTTATTTTTAGTGTGGCAAATGGGTACAACTCCAACTGGCTGAATCACAGCCCAATCTTCTGGAAATCGGGAGCAGTCAAGATGAAACCAAAAGACTGCTTCATGATCATGAGCTTCTCCTGGCCAAGCTTAAGGTAAGAGTCTCAGGTGTGAAGCAAAGGCAAGCTACAAAGGAAGATAATGCCACTTCTCACCTTCCTCTGGGTCCCACTGCTGTGACCGGCTTTCACCATTTTATTATGATGTTGTTATGGGCCAGCTTTGGTATAGGAAAGAAATAACAAGGGCTGGAAAAACAGCTCGGTTAGTCGAGTGCTTGCTTTGCAAACATGAGGACTTGGGTTGGATCCCTAGAGCACATGGAAAAATGCCAGTCATAGTAGCACAGGAAATGGGCGGATCCCTGTAGTTTGCTGACTAGCCAGCCCAGCCCAATTGGTGAGCTACCTGTCACTGTCTCAAAAGAGGTGGATGGTACTCCTGAGGATGACACCTGAGTTGTTCTCTGGCCTCCACAAGAACACACACATAGGCAGGCAGGCAGGCAGGCAGGCGGATGGACGGATGGATGGACAGACAGACAAGTATAATAAAATAAGAAACAAGTTGTAATTTTTAACTTGCCTGATGCCATAGAAAATATAGAGGGATTTTTTCTTTGGTTTTTCAAGACAGGGTTTCTCTCTATTGTTGTTTCTAAGGCTGTCCTGGAACTCACTCTGTAGATCAGGCTGGCCTTGAACTCACAGAGATTCGACTGCCTCTGCTCCCGAGTGCTGGGATCAAAGGCGTGTGCCACCACCACCCAGACCAGAGGAATAGTATTTTCACCGAGGAGTATTAAGTGATTTCCCTCCCCCACTACTGGCTGCCTCAGTGAAAATACCTATCTTTGTATTCCTTGCATTAAGTTCCCAGTACACATTAACACCAAACTTCCTATTGATAATGTCACCTTCTGGTAAGAATAATTTAGAGGAATCATAAAAACTGCCTGATTCTGTGCTTAGCATTAAGAGTTCTTGAAACCAGATGTGATGGTTAATAAAATCAGACCCAACACATTGTAGTTAGCTTAGAATATAAAATTAACACTGATTGGGGATTGCCAAGTATGGGCAATAATTTGTGAGGTTCGGCACAAAAACGGAAACGTACAGCCCCTTGTTCAACAGGCAGACATTGTGCTTTTCATTCTCTGTGTAATAACTGGCTGCTTCGCATGGTAGCAGACACAGGTGAGTGCGGACCCACACGTGCAGAGCATCACCCTTAACTCAGGCAATGTACTGCACGAGGGAGGGGTCAGCTCAACAAGAGAGAGAGAGCAGATGGTGCCCCTCCCCTAGAGGGTAGACTTTATGTACCACTCTAGATCCCAGCATCTGCTTCATGATCTGTGGGAACCCCTTAGAGAACACAAATTGAAAGAGAAGCATCCTTTACCTTTCCAAAACAATGACAGGCAGAGTGTGAAATCCCGTGCTGTCCTGCTCCTCAGAGCAGGGCAGCTTGATGCAGCCACTCTCGGCATCATGATCCTCACGCACAAGCAAATAGATGCCTTTGTTAGGACCAAAGAGGCGTGGTGACAGTTCTGAGTTCTGAAATGGTCAGGATGTTCCGTGATGTAGACTTAAACAATACTGGCTTCTTCGTGTTTCTCGGGCTGAAACACATACCCGATTTCTAATTCTGAGGCAGGTCTAACCTGCGTTGTAATACATAGACTGTGGGAAAAATAATCACTTGGGTAAAACTGACTGAGAGGGTGAGGGCTGAATCAGTCCTGAAGAAGACAGCCTTTAGACTCTGATACTCCCTTGCTTGACAGATTCTTGTTCTGGTGTCTGGGATCAGAGTTGTCATTCAAGGTAGCAAGCCCTGTTCATCAGGAAGTCTTGTGTGTATTGAAAAGAAACAACCCCAAAACAAAGCACCATTATGATGTGAAAGAAAGAACATTGGACCAGGAATCAAAAGACCTTTGTTTAGCTTTAGTCGTGTCACAAACTAATGTAACTTGACAAACAATTCAAAGTCTTCCTGTTTCAAAAAAAGCTTCAATACGTTCTTGAGCCTACTGCTCTGTGAACCACAGAAGCCCAATACTGTTCCCTGTCCATTCCTGAAGTCTTTCCCTCGTGGTCCATGGGTCCCCATTCTCCTTTATATTTACCTGCCAACCATTGTGGAAGCAAATCTGGACCTAAAGCCACATTCTTTTCTCAGTTCCCATTAATTCACACGCTGCCTGGTATTTTCCGGCTCACCAATGAATCTCGAATGGTGGCTCACAGCAGATTGGGCCTCTGGGGCAATGGCTTTCCTTCTCTCATATATTTGACAAAATACTAGAAGGCATTCTTTCTTATGTGGGAAAATGTGACCTTCCCCAGCTCATGTTCTTACTTCTACATCTGAGTCCACCCTGGAGCTCAGCTAGACAGAGGGCTTCCATTTAACAGGTTCTACCTGCTTACAGGGCAGTTAGGACTCTAGATTCTAAATACCTGGTTCTTATAAACCAGACTTCAGACTGTAGTGAGCTACTAAAGTCTTCTGGACTTCAGGCTTTTTATCTGCATGATTAAGGAGAGTGTATCTACTGGATTTTATCATGCACCATGGAATTTGGAGTCATTTCCAGCCTCCCTGCAAATGGTTCTAAAACGTGGGCTCTCAGATAAAAGCACATACTGGTTTCGCCTATAATTCCAGTTATAGTTCCTGAATAGCCACCTCTCATACCTTCCCTTACCCAACTGTTTGCCAGTAACCTAGCCACCTCTGCCCCCAAGGAGTTTACTTATTAGGTCTGTCCTTCAAACTGTACTGGTATTTAAAGTTTTATTTATTTGTGTGTGTGTGTGTGTGTGTGTGTGTGTGTGTGTGTGTGTGTGAGAAAGAGAGAGAGAGAGAGAGAGAGAGAGAGAGAGAGGCAGAGAGACAGAGACAGAGACAGAGAGAAACAGAGAGTTGCAGGGGGTGTTATCAAGGAAGGAGTTTGAAGTCCATTTCAGAAGTGCTAACTTAAAAATAATGGCAATTGAATCTCTCACAAGGATCCAAACTAATTTGTCACTTATTATGCTATCAGGGTCATCACAACTTAACCTGTGGCAGAAAATTGTTGGTCTCAATTTAATTGTAATATGAGGTTTCTAAGGAAAAAGGTGATAGTAGTTCAAGAAGCCCATCATATTTAATATTTAGTGTTCATTCTAGTCCTTTCTCGGTGTGTAAAACCCTGTTCCAATTAGAGAAAAACATATTCTGGAAGGTGTTCTTGGAGGGCGTAGGAGTCAAGAGTGGAGTACTTTCTGGTTGATTGTAATACTGACCCTCTCTAGTATAAGGTATGTATTTGAAAAATTAGGGTAATAACAGTTACCTTCACAGTTCCAAAAAGAGTATCTGGGAAGACAAATGAAATGCCATATGGAAGTACGTGCTGCCTTTAAGGGAGAAAATGGCATAATTATTATGCTAATGGTGAATATATCAGACTAATGTGAACATTTAATAGAAAAGCTATTTTGTGCCTTCCACCGAAAAATCTCAAACCCTCCTAACGAGGAATAAGGGGAAAATGTTGGGAACACATGATTTTCCTAAGTGTTTCTAATGCTGGTGATGTCTGTGCCCCTAGGGATTTTATTTTGCCTTCAGCTATGTACTTAGCCGTCCCACTGGAGTATCGAGAGGAAAAATCATTCCCTGTTTTCAGTAGCAAAAACAATCATGTGCAAATAGGTTTAAGGCTCAGTGGCTTCTGGATTCCCACACTGTGCTAACTTCTTTTCAATGCACCCAGGAAGGGGGAGAGAGGACTTAATCCAGGTGAAGACCTGCCTGTGGCTGCCGTCGACTTTGTGCTCCCAGGTAGACACAGAGTCGTTGAAGACAGAAATGAAGAGGTGAAGGGACCTTTGGGATTTTGCTTAAGATGTTTCTCTCCTCAGGGTCTATCTTTTAATTGCATCGCTAGTGTTCAACAGAGTTGGCGATGTGTGCCAAGACACTCCCAGGCATAAGTCCCTTGCTATGGACATGTGACATTAGCCCCCACAGAAGAATGACCCTTCAGAGTGATTGCAATCCACCAACCACTTTTCCTCTTACTTGACTCTCAGAAGTCTAGTGGTTTCCTGCGTCAGATGGAATCTCTGGCCCAGTGTGGCTAATATTTATCCTATATCTGATTACTGATTTAGAAGCAGACATGCTATGGATAGAACACATGAGTAGTAAGGCCAAAATCCTTAGATTAAAATTTGCCTTAAACAAGGAATAGTGTGAATGATTGCAATTAAGCTGCAGTATTTGCTCAGAGTGCACTTTAAAACATGTTTTATGCATCAAAATATAAGCAACGTAAAGTTTACCATCTTAACCACTTCTGTGTGTACAGTTCAGTAGCATTGATTATATTCAGATTATGCAACCATTAACTGTGTGTGTTTTTTAAAAAATGTAATCACACCAAACAGAAGCTCTGTATCTCTTAAGAAGTAACTCTTCATATTATCCGTGCTTCCAATGTAGTCTGATTTTTCTGTCTGTGTATTTGCCTGTTCTACACCCTACACATAAATGGAATAATACATTTGACTTTTCATGCCTGGCTTGTTTTCTCATATGATATTGGTTTGTATTTTGTGCAAGAATTTCACTGTTTTAAATAATGAATAACAAAGAATGAATGAATGACGAATTGTAAGGGTTGCATATCCTTTATCTGAAATGCTTGAACCAAAACATTTCAGCTTTTCAATTTTTTTTGGATTTTGGAATATTTGTATATGCACAATGAGATACCTTGAGCATTGAACCCTACTATACATACAAAATTCATGTATTTCAGATACACGTTATACATAGCGAATAAAAGTAAGTTTGGTATTTTTATTATGCCTGCATTTTGACTGTAGCCTATGGCATGAGTTCAGGTATGGAATTTTCCATCATTGCGACACGGCTGTGCTCAAAAGTTTTAGATTCTGGAATTTTGTGTGTACTGGTTGGTTGTATTGTCAATTTGACACAAACTAGAGTCATCTGGAAAGAGGGAACCTCAACTGGGAGAAATACCTCCATCCAGTTGACCTGTAGGCAAGTCTGTGGGTCATTT